CTCTCTCTCTCTCTCTCTCTCTCTCTCTCTCACACACACACACACACACACACACACACACACAGAGCTATCACTGAGAGAGGGGAGATGCAGAAGGCACCAGGAGCACCCCCAGCCTGGGACCGAGGATAGAACTGGGCAGTCTCAAGGGTTGCCCCGGATCGGCGGGGCAGGGAAGTCTCAGAGACAAGCTCGTCTCTCCATCCAACTGTGGAATCAGTGTCTGAATTCTGAAAATTTTAACTGGGTGTGTGAGCAGGAGAGCAGGCCATGTGGAAGGGACTCCCCCTAAATCCGACACCCCTGGCTGAGTCGACAGGCCTTCTTGGGTGGGGCAGGAGGAGCAGTGGACATTCCAGACACGTTTACCACAGCTTCGTACGTTTGACATGTACCAACTCATCTGCTCCTCACAGCAGCCCTAGCAAGTGGGGGCTGTGTTTATACTAACCCCCAAATAGGAGCCCAGTGGAGGGGGGCTCGGTTCCCGGTCTGGCTCCGGAGCTCATAAGCTTAACCGCCAGGCTGGGCCTCTCGATTTGTGACTCAAGACATTCCATAGGCACAGTTTCTGCCATCTCTATGTCACCTGTACAACTATTTCTTTCATCGTGACTTACTTTCAAATAATAGCATTATATCACCAACATAAATAGAAAATGAGTGTCATTTATCATTAAAAAAATACCTGTAAAAAAATAAATACCGTATTGTATTTAGCATTGACTATAAATGCTATTCAAGTCTGGCTAGAGTTGGGGGGGTGAGCCCAGGCACTGGACCTGCTGTCTTTGCTAAAAGGGGGATTACAAATACCAGAGAGGGTTGGGAGACACGCCAGCCACCTGAGACTTCCTCCTCGGTGGCCTGGTCGGAGCAGTGACTAAATGATTCACGCTGCTTACCACCCAGTCCACAACGCTGGCTTTGAGAGAGACCTCTGTGCTTTAACATGCGGCCACAAAATACTGACCGGACTTGGCTACAAGGTCAGGGGCTCCTACACCCAGCAAAACTTGGTGCTTGAGAAAGTGACACTGGACGTTCTGTGGTGGCGGCAGCCTCCAGGCCCCTCGGACATGGATTTTTGGGAACCCAGAACCTTAGCTCCCTCTGGGACGAAAGCGGGATTTACTCCTGACAGCACCGGGATCCAGTGTTTATGTGATTCTATGAAGGCAAATACTTTTCAAGTTAAGTCTTCTTGGACAGGATTCCAAGAGAGATAGAGTACAAGTGAATCAGTGTTGGGTGTTCTTCCTAAAGCATCGGTTTGACAAATGCGGGCAAAGACCAGCTCGAAGTTATCTCCTTTCCCACCCCCACCCAAGCCATGAGAATCCATCTGTGGGGGGCCTGGGTCCACCCACCGGCTCAGCGGAAAGCAAGGGCCCTGGGGAGATAAGGGAACTGGCTCAAGGTCACACTCAGAGTGCCCCACTCCTGCCCACCGCCACCTCGCCCGGTGGTGCCAAGGTGCCCATCCTGCTACATTACCTCCCCACATTCTCTTAAATAGTTCTCTGACATCTGATTTTATAATCCCAGGGTACACTAATCAGGGTCCCCGCTGGAAAGAGAGGGCACATTCAAACCAGGTAATATGAAGAGAATGTTAATAGAGCATCTGGTTACAGGGTGTTGACCGCGAGTAACCTGTTGACAGGTCCCACTGCTCCCTCCCTCTCCGCTTGAGGCCTGAGCTAGCAAAAGGAGCTGGTAGTTACCAGCAGAGCCCAGGACCCCTAACTAGAGCTGGGAACTCCCACCCAGGCCCAGCCAGCCCCAGGAGGCCCCGAGGGAGGGAGCTGAGAGTCAACGCCATGTCCTCACCCTGCTAGGAGACAAACCCAGCAGGAAGGCAGAGAACCCAAGTGTGATCCCCACTGGAGGCTGCAGGGACAGTGACCTGGAGCGGCCCAGGGCAGCTCCCACACAGAGGTCCTGCCCCTGGGCAAGCAGGCCCCAAAGCAGACACAGAGAACAGCTAGAGTGGCCCTCAGACTCCCACTGCTCCCAGGCCCTTAAACTCCTTCTCTCTGGACAGAGAGAAAAGCCCTCAAGTTTGTTTTGAAATGAGAGCAATGTTTACAGCCATTAGCAAGCAATTAGGCTCCAGCTGGGTTGATCTGGCCAGATCTGGGGACACCCAGTGAGGACAGGCTGGGCTCCTTCCAAGGGTGACCGACCTGGGAGGCCCTGAGTTACCTGTGTGGCTGTCACTGTCCAGATGGAAATAGGAGGCCCTGCCAGGAGGCTGAGGTCCATAGGCCAGACAGGGAGCCCCATGGGGACCGGGGGGACCTCATCTTTTCTCTTCCCCGCCGAATCTCAGCACCGGAAAAACACTCAGTAATTGTTGAGAAATGAATGAGTCGAACACATGACCTCTGACCCCAACTGAATTTTCTTTCCTCTGGCCAAGCAGCTCCCTCCTCAGAAAGGCAATCTACTAGGTCTTTCTCCTTCCCCTGAGCCCGCTCCTGGAAGGATCCCTAGGACTTTGCTGCTTATTGCATCCACGAGTTCCAAATCTTGACCTCAGCTCTGCTGAGGGGTTCCTGTAAACCTTTCACGGTGTTCCTTGAATATGTTTCCTTTCGTTTCCTGCTTACCAACTCCAACTTTTCTTTTTCTAACGTGTTCACATTTCCTGTACAAATTTCCACGGCCTATCTCCATCTTCCATGACTGAATTAGGAGAGCGGGGCTTCTGGAAGCCAAGTGCTTGTGTTTGGCGGAGGAGTGGCTGGGAGCAGGGGTAGGCAGATTCACGGCTATACTCGTGTACACACACACACATGCACGCACGCACCAGCTTTTCACAGGACAGGAGCGAGAGGTCACGTGGGGCCCTGGAGCCAGCTCCAGGTCTGGTACCAGGAGAAGGGGATTAAGCCTCACTTCCAGGCCTTGCCAGCAAGACACTGGGACAAGTCACCATGTCTCTCTGCACCGTTTCCTCCTCTAGAGGGCAGTGTATGCCCGATGCCTACCAACCCGGGAGGGAGTGCAATTAAACTGAAGAAGGGGCAGAGGCAGGCTTTGTCTGTGGAACCTCCACTGGGCTGAAAGGTTTACACCTTTCACCTGGGGTTCAGGTGCGGGCCCAGCTCAGAACCTGAGAGCACATTGTAGTGGTAACCACCCCCAATGGATGGGAAATACTCACCTGTACCTATCTCCTTCATTAGGCTCCAAGCTCCTGGAGGTTCTGTGACTCACTCATCTCCATCCCATCAAGGTGAGCCTGTCCTCCCGCCCAGAGCCCTCCCATGAGTTCCAGACCCAAGCAGGGCCCAGCAGCTACTTACGCCCCCACCTGCAAGTCTCAAACACACCTCAGACTTACAGGTTCAAGACCCAACATGGTGACCCAGTCTCTCCAAGTCAACTCTCCCCGTTTTCCCTTCATAGAAGATGGCAGTACCTGGGGGCACCTTCCTCACCCTCACCCCCAAGCCCTCTGTTGCCAATCTTGCACCAGGCCATGTCCGCCTTACTCTCAATTACCTCTGGAATCATTCTCTCCAATCCCTACCACCCTAGACTAAAGGGCACACCTGCTAACTGCTTCCTGCTTCCACTCTGCCCCCCACCTCCCCAACTCACCATAATCCCATCTCCCCCAGCAGCCCCCAGGGCCTAACACACATTCACACCAAGCTTCTTCCTGCCTCAGGGCCTTTGCACCTGCTGTTCCTTCTGCCCGCTTCTCTACGCCATCCTTTCCTGCTCCCACCCAGGCCCTGCACCAGGCTGCTTTAGAACCCCGTGTTCTATGTTATCACGGGACCTTTTATTTTATTTCATAGCACTTATATCAGTTTTCAATTATTCAATGGCTATTTGAGTGCTATCTGGCTTCTCCATTAGACTATAAGCTCTGGAGGACAGATGCTGTGGCGTTCTCACCCTTATGTCCCTTGCCCCCAGTATACAAAAGATGCTTAATAACTACCGTATTTCCCCATGTATAAGCTGCACCCTTTTTCGAAAAATTTGGGGTCTAAAAACTGGGTGCATCTCATACAATGGTTGTAGATTTTTTTACTTGCATTTCCCGCAAGTGATGAGGAGTTGTATGAATTTTATGATGAATAAAACTTGAATTCAATAACTTTATGTAATACTTTTTTTTAAGTTTCGGGCCCCAAAATTAAGGTGCATCTTATACATGGGGAAATACGGTATTTGTTCAGTGAAGGACTCGTTTCCCTTGCCTAGAGGAGAATACCTGTGTGTTGTGGTCCCCAGCCTGCCATCTAACCATCTTTTCTCTTCCAGTCAGCCCAGGTGAGGCCTCGCTCACATCCCACCCTGAGTCCAAATGTTCTCTGCCTGGAGGAGATCAATGTTCCTGTCTGTACATGAGGACCCCATGCCCACCATCGCTTCTTTCAGGTGCGTCAAAGAGTCCCCGATTTACCATTTATGGGGGGCAGACAACCTGGAGAACGCCCAGGGAGCGTAACCTCATCTCCTAGAAAACAATTGAAGCAACAGGCAGTGCTAAATCCAAAGACAATACTTCCTGAAGGCTGGTAAGGCCAGTGTTCAAATCCCCCCAGGCCTGTGGGGGCAGAAAGGGTGGGTCGTTCTGTGGAGTTTGGGAGACAGGTGTGCAGGAGGAGAGAAACACATATGTGAGCGACCCTGGACACACTTGACAACGAAGAGAGCGAAACTCTGAAGCCAACACCCAAGAAATCAGACAGAGGTGTGCCAGGTTGCCGTGGAGACAGGATGTCACCTACACATGGCTGATATCCGGTGGAAGGCCAGGACACTCTAAAGAGAGGATGTGGGGGGAACTGATCCCTAGTGGAAGCAAAGGAAGGGGAGGGTCAGTCCTGAGGGGGGGGGCAAGACAAAGGGGAGAGGGCCCCAGCTGGGCCTCCTGGGCCTGTGAGGGGTGTGGCCTAAGATGGAGATAACCAGATGGCCCTCTCAGCAGAGCCACAGAGCTCGGGCCCTATAACTCCCAATCACGCACTTTCCAGGCCACCTTCTCAGGGATCCTGTGGCTTCTCAGAGCCAGCTAAGGGTCAGGCGTCATCCTGTTGGCTAGGGCCTATCTTGCTGGGAAGTTAACAAGTAGCCTCTGATACGATACTTCCGTCTCTGGAGAGCTAGACCATGAGAGGCTACTCCTGAGGCCTGGGACACTGAGGAAACAGGTTTCTATAGCTGCAGACACGGGGCCAAAGGCTGGACCAATGGGGACATGGGGACCGTCCACGGGAGGTCTGGCCTTCAGAGGGCTCTGCAGAAAAGCCTGCCGGTTTGCATGGGTCAGGAATGTAGGGCCCAGTGGGGACCTTGTCCCTGGTCCATGATGTCTGGGGCCTCAGCTGGAAGGCTTAAAGGCTGGGGAACCAGGCTCACCAAGGTGGCAGGTGGTTCCCCTTCACGCGGCTGAGTGCCCTCTCAGAGTGGTGGCTGGCCTCCCCCAGAGCCAGCAACCCAAGAGTCTGAGGAGGAAGCTATGACGTATATATGACCTAGACTCGGAAGTCACATACTGTCACTGCCACCACGGGTGGGAAACAAGTCACTAAGTCCAGCTATATTCACTGCAAGAGGAATTAGACTCCACCTTTTGAAGGGAGGAGTATCAACACATTTTTGGCCATATCAAAACCACCACCCCACCAGAAGAATCTCTCCAGAGCATATTTTGAACCCCATCACTTGCCCCTTAAAGCCCTCGGGGGCAAAGCCTCACTCTCTTAGCGTCAGTGATGACTGTCCTTAACCCTTTATTTAATGGCATCTCTCGCCACTTCCCACCTCCCTGTCTAGCCTCTGATCTGCCCTCCAGGCACATGGCAGCAGCTTCCCCACTTCTGTGCCTCTGCCTGGTCTGTCCTCCCTCCTTCTTGTCCCCTGTTGGCATGCTTCACATCCTTCCAGAGCCAGCTCATGAGTCACCTCTAACCTTCTCCCCCTCCCCCAATTCTGTGTCCCATGCCTGTCGTCCGCCCCCCACCCCACCTTAGCACTCATCACATGCTGGGCCACATTTGTTGGGAATTCAGGCAAGGCAAGGGACACGTGGTATTCCCCTCTGGGTCCCTACAGCACAGAGAAGATACTCAAGACGCATTTAAAGGATAAGTGTACTGATGAATGAGTCTATCACAGGTTCCCAGTCTGGCCCCTCAAAGTCAGCCAGCTGCCACAGGAAGAGGGTTTTTTCCTGGGAAATTCCAGAGGCAGTCAGCAGGTCTTTCCCATAATCTATTTCTCAGTTCCTCCCCTCTGAGCCTGCCCAACAGTCAACCCCCCCACATTCCCTTGCTCACCTCGCAGACACTAGGAAAACGCCTAGTTAGTCCTGCCCTCGGGTTTGTGTTTTCAGCTTTTCAATGTGTCTTCATACCCACTCTTTCATTTGAACCTTGCAACAGCCATGCAAGGCAAAGAAAACAAAATGGAAACTCAGAAAGGTCAAGCAATTTGTCCAAGACCGTACAGCTAGGATTGGAACCCACGTCTGTTTGAAAACGCCATGTCATTTTGCTGAGAGGAGAGATGAATCAGCTGCAACAGCAACATTTCAAGAAAGTGAACTGCCCTGTGGTCTGAGTGTCACCCAAGAGTGAAAAAGGAGCCAGTGGGGTCATGATGAAGTCACCAATACAGCAGCAAGAACCTGCAACAACCGTTGCTGGAGTTTAACATTGGTTCTTTCAATAGGTTCACAAAAGAAGATAACTATTAATGTTTATTGAACTAAGTTCAGTGCTTGGGGCTTTCTGCACATTGTTTCAGGTCCCCACCACAACCCTGTGAAGATTTAGTTATTCCCATTTTACAAGGCAGGTCGAGATTCAGAGAGGCCAATTAACTTAGCCAAGGTCACACAGCTAATGAATGAGCCAGGATTTGAACCCAGGAGGATGGCCTGGCTCCAAAACCCTGCCCTCCCTCTCTGTTACACAACCTGTGAGCATTATCAACACTTCACTAATGGAGGGTACAAAACCATGATGCTATCCTGTGCCAGAAAAGAGAAAGGGTGTGGGCAGATGGGCCGGTCTCGGAGCCAGGCTGGAATCTGGCATGGTGTCATTTTTCTCTTGTAATAAATTAATCACCTGTGGCCAGGCCATAAGAAGCTCAAAGCTCCCATGGGAGGGGCCCAAGAGATAAGGAAGGAATGTGCTATGTGTCCTCCATTTATGGAAGCTTCAAGGAAGGCCCAGGGCCCAAGGGCCCAAGACTCATAATTGTTAGTGCTGATGATGGATGCTGGCCAAGGAAACGTCCCAGTGGAGCCACGCGGCGAGGAACGGGAGCTCTCAGTTTAGGGAGCAGAGATGCCGCCTAAGAGCCTGGGAGCTGGGTCTCAGCACATCTGCAGAAAGAGCCCGCGCTGCACCATCTGGAAGCTGCTCTCTGATTCCCCCTCTCCTTCTGCATCCGCTGTTTCTCCTTCCTCTTGTGACCTGGAGGTGTAACCGTCCCTTTTCCACTCTCTTTCAGTGGTGAGATGCTCAACATCACTTCGCAAGTCCTCGCGCCGGCTCTCAACGGGACCCCTTCCCAGACCAGCAGCTGCAGCCACTCCGAGGTGTGGGGCTGGCTCAACACCATCCAGGCCCCCTTCCTCTGGGTCCTGTTTGTGCTGGCGGCACTCGAGAACGTCTTTGTCCTCAGCATCTTCTGCCTGCACAAGAGCAGCTGCACGGTGGCGGAGATCTACCTGGGCAACCTGGCGGCGGCAGACCTGATCTTGGCCTGCGGGCTACCCTTCTGGGCCGTCACCATCGCCAACAACTTCGACTGGCTCTTCGGGGAGGCCCTCTGTCGCATAGTGAACACCATGGTCTACATGAACCTGTACAGCAGCATCTGTTTCCTCATGCTGGTGAGCATTGACCGCTACCTGGCCCTGGTGAAAACCATGTCCATGGGCCGGATGCGCGGCGTGCGCTGGGCCAAACTCTACAGCCTGGTGATCTGGGGGTGCGCGCTGCTCCTGAGCTCGCCCATGCTGGCTTTCCGGACCATGAAGGACTACAGGGAGGAGGGCTTCAATGTCACGGCCTGCGTCATCATCTACCCGTCCCGCACCTGGGAGGTGTTCACCAACATCCTCCTGAACTGCGTGGGCTTCCTCCTGCCCCTGAGTGTCATCACCTTCTGCACCGTGCAGATCATGCAGGTGTTGCGCAACAATGAGATGCAGCAGTTCAAGGAGATCCAGACGGAGAAGAAGGCCACGGTGCTGGTGCTGGCCGTGCTGCTGCTGTTCGTCGTGTGCTGGCTGCCCTTCCAGGTCAGCACGTTTCTGGACACCCTGCTGCGCCTGGGCATCCTCTCCGGCTGCTGGGACGAGCACGTCGTGGACATCTTGACGCAGCTCTCCTCCTACGTGGCCTACAGCAACAGCTGCCTCAACCCGCTGGTCTACGTGATCGTAGGCAAGCGCTTCCGCAAGAAGTCGCGGGAGGTGTACTGGAGACTGTGCCGGAGAGGGGGCTGCAAGTCACAGCCCAGCCAGATGGAGAGCACCATGGGCACGCTGCGGACCTCCATCTCGGTGGAACGCCAGATTCCCAAACTGCCTAGGTGGGCGGGGAGCAGCCAGTGAGCAGATGCCAGCAGGGCTGTCGCTAACGGGTAGGAGGGGTGATAGACAGTTGCTCTCCTGGACGTGCCCGACAAGGCATGGAAGGCCTCCCACGTGTGACCTTGGGCACTGAGTCGGTGTCTCCAGTAAACACAGGCGCGGGATTCCTACCCTTCCCAGGTTGCCGTGAGCACAGCTGTGAGGACGGAGATGCTCCGAGCACAGCCACGGGCTCCATAAACATGACAGCAGTATCGCTCTTATTTGCTGCCACCCTTGGGCCCGTCTGCTCCTGCCCAGGAGCAAAGGGGACCTGGGGGCAGGAACAAGGGTGCCTGTGCTTCCCCCCACGTGGCGTCCCACCATGCCATGCCGCAGCCTGACAGCTGTGTTGCAGCGGCAGAGTGCACACACGGTGCCTGGCTGAATGGCCGCCTTGGATTTCTTTAACCCGCTCGGCTAGGAAATTCGAAGGATAACTTCTCAGATTCGTGAAAGTGAAGCTCTAAGGGCCTCTGGTGAGAACCTAAAGATCAGGCCTGGGTCGCTCCCCTCGCCAAGACACAAGGTGGTTTGTGCCAAAGAAGCAAGCAGTAAGCTCTTATCGGCATTTGCTATCTACGTAGCATTGAGCACTGAGAGTGAGAAGGAAGAAGGAGAAAGTGCAGCTTCACCTTGAAGGAACCTACAAACCCTTGTGGGGAGGACTCAGCACTCGAAACCACCAGCAGGCCGAGGCCCTTCTAGGACAAGCAGTGAAGCAAAGCCTGAGTGCAGTGAGGAGCCTGACACCCCAGCTCCGCCCATCACCATCGTCACCTTAAACCCGCCTCAGTTTCTTCCTCTGTAACCTGAGGCTGTGAGGATGGATTAAAGGAAGTAACCGGCATAGAAGTGCTTTGAAAAACAAAAGGTGCTATGTAAATGTGAGGCATTACTCCCACGCGGAGCCTGGAGCACCAGGGAGATGTGGTGACGAAGAGCCCACCCCTCCTGACCGATTCAGCTCCAGATTTTACAACAAAAAGGGTCAAAAGGATTCCCTCCCCATTCCAACCTTTTAACCACCAACATCACCCCTCGGCCCCAATAAGCATACACACTGGTAGCTGGAGAAAGAAAGGGGGACCATTTAGTATTAGGATGGAGCTAAAGCACACACATATCGTGAGTGGGGGTAAAAAAGGAGGCTGTGCTGTGTCTTGTGTGGCCCTTGTTCATAAGCCGGTGTGTGCTGGTCTGAAGATCTCCTGTGAGCTGAGCTGTGTCACAGCCCTGGGATCCTAACGGTCATTCGAGGGTCCACCATGGTCTGGGGAGCAGTCAGTATGCAGGAGGGGAGCCACCCTCGGGGTTGTGTCGAAACCTCGGTAAAGCCACAAAGAGCTGTTACACTGTAAAGAAGGAGTATTCCACCGACAGTAAGAGACGGGTGTCAACCTGTGTCTTTTCTGTACAGCATAATAAATGGATGAGGCGTTTTTGCTCTTCCTTGTGTCACAACTCCTGAAACCCTGAGCTTTCCCGGGGACACTGCCATGGGCATTCAGAAGCCTTGGGGGTTTCCATTTATTTGTGGGGCACCTATTTTAGAGCTTCTGTCCTGTAGTTCAGGGGTGTCCATGCTTTTGCAATTGTGTATCTAAGTAAAAGAATTTCAATTGTGCGTACCCAATATGTACACTTATCAGGATGCATTAAAACGTATACTCTACAATACATAAAGTAGAAATTCAAGAAAATGTAATAGGGTTTGAATGTTTCCCCCATCCTACACGCCTACATTGGTAACTCATTACCAAGCTCCCATCAGGAGCCCAGGAGGCCCCATGAGGCCCTAGGATCGTAGGGATGGATGGTAGTGATCTACCCTTCATGCATGCAGTGTAGATTTATTGGGTCCCTTCCATTTGACCTCCCTTCAACTCAAGAGTATCCACATTAAACAGCTGTCTAGCCACTGCTTGCACACTCCCAGTGTCGCGGAACTCATTATCCGTTCCTTTTTGGGACCCCTTCATTATTCATGCATTCATTCATGTATTACACAAAACTTATGTTCTGTGTCTACAGAAATGGCATGGCTCCATCCATTCGTGCCAGAAACCTGGCCTCATCATTCAATGCATCCTCTCCTTCATCCCTTCCACTCCCACGGATCAGCCGCTCTTCTAGATTCCACGATGTGTTTCCTGGATCTCGCTTCTTTTCCCACAAAGTCTAACCGTCATCTCTCATTGGTCTCCTCACCTCTGATATTAGCCACCACCGTCTCCCAATGAAGACTTCACTCTGCAGTCAGTGATGTTTTTAAAGAACGCCAATACAATCCTTGGGAAGCTATAAATATAAACAAACAAACAAACCAAAAAAAAAGAAAGAAACAGGGTGTAGGAGCCAAGACTTTGGGACCAGGCAGACCTGGATTCCAGTTCTGATTTTGGAGCAGGCTGTTACTTGCTCTGTGGTCTTGGGTATCTCACTCATCCTTTCTGAGTTCACATTTCCACCTGTAAAATGGGGATAATAACGGCATCTACCTCAAAGAACTGCTAATAGGGTTAGTGTATGAAAGTGTTTGGCACAGTGTCTGGTTCAGAGCTGGCACTCAACATGTGTGAGCTGTCATGATGGTGGTGATGATGACGATGATGGTGATGGCTGTGATGATGTGATGGTGAGGGTGGCAACCACACTCTCTAACAGGAAACCCTTAAGGAGAGTTCCACCACTCTTGGAATAAAGTGCCACATCTATAATGTGGCTTGCAAGGCCCGTCATGAGCTGGCCCCTGCCTCGTCTCTGTCGCTCTCTCCACTTCCTGGCTCATTCTCTACTCTCCAGCCATCGCTTCTCGGCCTTTTGGCTAAGATCAAGTGTAGTATCTACTCTCCAGCCATAGTGGCCACACACGCCTGAGTCCAGAACATATTCCAATCCCCTTCCGGTGCCCACACTTCCCACCCAGCCTGCACCCCTCCCCAATGGCCCTGAGCTCAGAGGAAGCTGCCCACAAGTGCCTCCGGGATCTCACTCATCCGACGGCCTTTGTTCCCAGACATGAGCATGACTTGAGGAAGTCTGTAGTTCAGAGGGAAGCCACCTGGCTGGAAATCTGAGCTGGGCTTTCAGCAGGTGGAAAGGAACTGGGGGAGCCTCCCACTCACCTCCCTCCACCCCAGCCAGGCAACATGAGCAGCCCCTCCGCCCCTGAACCCCCTTGGCCCCAGAGAGCTAGTGCAATGGGGAGAAGTTCAACTGGGCCTCTGGGGGCTTGGAACTGAGACATGGGCCCAGCTCCTGAGTCCACCCTGGCTGGAGCAAGTGAGGGCCTGGTACAGAGGTGCAAACTGAACGCAGGTGACCCGACGGGATCAAGCTAGTGATTTACATGCTATCGTCGATTTATGAAGCATTTGAGCACAGTCTCTATGCAGCAGAGGGTGAAGTCTCTATTCGTAACGCCAACAATGTGCTCCGCTGTCTCTTTGTTACTCAAGCGCCGAGCCATTGCAGATCCTCACATAGCTCTGACCGCTTGCCAAGCCCAGGAGGAAGCGGGGGTCAGGGATGAGCGAGGAGGTCATGGTTTAGCAACAGCAGTGACTGAAAGTTTAATGGTTAGTTTGTGGTTTTTTTGGCTGAGGTCAAAAGGGCTCCCTCCAAGTGTCTCACCCTCGGCGGAGCTCTTTTATACATGATCCGCACAACCACTCAGCTAGGCAGGTGCCCATATCATCACCAGTTGCATGATGTGGAAACTGAGGCCCAAGAGGGAAGAAACTATGGCCCACAGTTCCTCAGGAGGGTGCCCTGGAAGCCCACCTATTCTCGGTGAGTTGGTGACTTAGCAGAGGGATGCAAATCCTGTCGCCCAGGAAGCCCTCAGGGTGCCTTCCAGTGTGAAGAGCTTCTGACCCTGGATTTGAGCTTTTTCCACCCCAGTAAACGGACTTTGCATTTTTAAGCCTGTTTCCTGTAGAACCACCTCTCCAGAAGCTGGTGGCTGACACTTTACAAAGATATTTTTTTTTTTTTTTAGTAACCACTGAATTGAGATATAATTCACATGCCGTAGAGTTCACCCATTCCAGTGGCTTTTGGTGTATTCACACAGTTGTGCAGCCACCACTGCTGCTGACTTCCAAAGCACATTCCTCACCCCAAAATGAAACCCCACAGCCATTCCTCATTCCTCCCTCCCTCGCCACGGCCTCGGGCAGCCACTCATCTCTCTGTCTCTAGTTTTGCCTGTTCTGAACATTTCATATAGATGGAATCACATACCACGGGCCCCTTTGTGCCTGTTTCTTCCTTCTAGCTTACGTTGAGATATAATATTCAACTGTAGGACAAGTACTTTGGAGGCCAGGCCTTGCGTCCCTACGATGCCACTTATTCAACATGTGATCTTGGCCAACCACTTTACTCCTTCCCCCCCAGCCCAGCCCGGGCCTTGGGCCTCAGTTTCCTCATCTGTCAAATGGGAAGGTACAATACACTAAGTATGCCTAACTCACCCAGAGCTAATGACTCTGAAAAAGGGGCTTTGTAAACTCTAAAGGGCGACACCGACGTGACAGGGGCTGCCCTGGGCTAGGAGCCACGCTCCTGTTTTACATCCCAGCTCTGCTACTTCCTGGCTGTGGGAGTTTAGACAAGGTCTGTTAGCGTCTCTGGGTTTCTAGCGTTTTGCCTATAAAGTGAGGATCTAGGTGTTGTGAAGATTGTGATGAAGGTATTCTCATGGGTTGAATAGTGTTCCCTCCCCTCCACCCCAAATTCATACACTCATGGAACCTCAAAATGTGACCTTATTTGGGAAGAGGGTCTTTGCAGAAGTGTAAAGTTAAGGCGAGGTCATACTGGATAAGATGCCCTAAATCCAATGACGGAGATCCTTATAAGGAGAGGAGAGGACACACAGAGACACAGGAGGCAGAGATCGGCGTGATGCTTCTAGAGCCAGGGAAGGCCAAGGGTCACTTGGAACCCCCAGAAGCTGGAAGAGAAGCCCAGAACACAGTCTCCCTCCGAGCTTCCACGGGGAACCAACCCTGCCCACAACTTGATTTTGGACCTTTAGCCTCCTGAACTAGGAGAGAATAAATGTCTGTTGTTTTAAGCTACTCCGCCTGTGGTGCTTTGATATGGGAGCCCTAGGAAACTAATACAGGTGTTCGAATAGTTTTCAGTGCATATGCACCACCTTTGAGATTACCCATCACAGCCACGCTCACCGCTCTCCCCCAACAACAGAAGAGTGACTCGCACGCTTTCTTCAGGTCTCCTGAGAACAACCCTGTTTCCCCAAAATTAAGACCTAGCCAGAAAATAAACCCTCGCATGATTTTAGGTGCCAAAATATGGCACTTTAGCATACTGAGTATTTTAAGCTGAAGGAGTTTGTGGAAAAGGCACCCTTCTCCCTGAAACAGGTCAGAAAACCCTCATGTGAGGGGTGCGTGTCCTCCATATCCTGGAGAATCGTGCTAGGGCTTCTTCTCTGGCTAGGTCTTATTTTCGGGGAAACACAGTAGATACTATAATAGTTGGTGATAGAAGACTTCCTGAGAAAGAATAGAATATGCCATCTTACAGAATTGTCGAGATTTCCTACAAAAGGAGGATATAAGGCTTTGCCCAAGGTCACATAGCATGTTAGGGGCTGGGTCAGGCCCCCAGAGTGTGTGCACCACAGGCCTGGTGGTGCTGGCTTTAAATGCCCATCTCTACAGACTCAGGACCAAGGCTGCCCTGTTTCTCTCTTACTTCCTCAGGCCCAAAAGTTGAGCTGATTCAGGGAATTTCAGGCAAGGTTAAGAAAAGGCCACAGCTCCTGGCTTCCAGGCAGCCCAGCCACCAAGCCCAGCTAGGTGGGAGGTTGTTTAGAGACGGCCCTGGGAGGTGGCCCAAGATGGAGTTCTAAGGCTTCCTCCACGCTGAGTCACCCTGCACGGCCCACTCAGTGGGCTAGCAATGGACGCCTGTTTCTTCTCTCCAGTCCTGGCCGAGATAGAGGACAGCTGTGTAACCCCTCCTTGTGTTGACACAGCCACTGTCTTATGCAACAGAAAGTGATAAAACCAATACAGCTACCGCTGGCTGCTGACCAGCTATGTCACCACACCATCTCAAATCCGAGAAGAGGCCCACTTTACAGATTAGGAAACTGAGGCTCCACGAGGTGGAACAGAAAATGGTCCAAGTGCACCCAGCTCAACAGTGATGGAGCTGGGATTTAAACCCTGGCAAGGTGGCTCTGGGGCCCAGACCTGCCCACCATGACTTCTGAACTAGATCATAAGGACCTGGGTCTTACTCTGGAATCAGATTTTCTCATAAAATACCTATCCACCCGGAGGGAGACAAAGCAGTGAGACATCCTGACCGCAGAATGGACTTTTGGGGTCATCTGACCTCTCCTCTTTAGGCTCCATCATGGAAGAACAGAACCTCTCATTCTGAGAAGAAGGAATCTCCCATCAGCGCCCCTATCCCATTAGTTGCCCCAAATCTTTCTCTTGAATTCAGTCCTGACCTCATTTTCTTCTAGCGCTTATAGAGCTCACCTTCCAATTTTTAAGCTATTTTGGTATACCATTATTTACTTCTGCAGAATTTCCCAAAGTTTCTCAAAAACAACAAACAACAAAAATAAACCAACAAACAAAAAAACGACCCCTGAATGGTGAAATATGTAAGTCTAAGAAATGCAACGACTCCATCTTCCTGTGGCCTTCACCGTACACAGACGCATACTAAAGGCCCTGAGAAGTCCTGCAGGAAAGAGGCCTGCTCCACTCTGCTTTGTCTAACCTGGGTCTTCTGGACTTGATTGGCACAGAACCTGTTTTTCGCTGGCTGCTCCTTCAGGCCCTCCTTGCCCAGCACTTTCTTCTCTACCTGAAGCTTCCATGTTGGAGTTCCTCAGGCTTCAATCCCAAACCCTCTTCTCATGTCTCTATGGGGTCCCCCCTACCTACTCCCAGCCAGAGTCATGGCTCTAAACACCACCTGTGATGGTGAGTCAACTTGGCTGGGCTCCAGTTCCCCATTAGTTAATGAAACACAAATCTAGGTGTCGATGTGAAGATCTTTTGTAGGTGTGGTGAACATCTACCATCAGTTGAGTCACCCTGGATAATGTGGGTGGGCCTCATCCAATCATTTAGAAGAGCCCAAACTGAATTTTCCTGGAGGAGAAGAAGGAAGCTGCCTCATCAACCTCTGATCACGTGTCCAGCCTGCTGGGCGGCCTACAGATTTTGGACTTGTCAGCCCCTGCAATCGCATGAGGCCATTCCTTGAAATAAATCTTGATAGATGATAGGTAGGTAGATAGATAGATAGATAGATAGATAGATAGATAGATAGATAGATGTGGAGGTAGAGATGGAGAAAAAGAGAGAGGGAGAGAAAGAGGGAGGGAGAGATGGAGAAAGAGAGAGAAAGAGAGAGAGAGAGAGAGAGAGAGAGAGAGAGAGAGAGAGAGTTGTTTCTGTTTTTATGGACACCCCTGACTAACACACATCTAGGCCAACAACTCTGAAAAGTTAGCCCTCTTCTGACGAATCTTCTCTCATCCAAATGCCTACTAGAGAACCCCATTTAGGAATTTCACAGGAGCGCCTACCGAGGTCCAAAACCAAACTTTCTGATCCTCTCCTTAAGAAACCTATTCCCTTTTCATCCTCCCATCTCAGTTAACGTTACCACCCAGTTGCTCCGGCTCGAAGAAGCCAATAAAACTCTTTGATTCTTCCCTCTCCCCACGTGCCACACACCACCAGGTACTCCTGGCTCTACCTCCAAACGACATCTCCATTCCTCCACACCTCCATCCCCCTCCCGGTCTTGAACCCTTCCAATCTATTTGCCACCCAAGACCTGGGGTGATTTTTTTCAAATGCTTAAAAGCCTTTAGTGGCTCCCCGTTCTGGTGGGTGCGGCGATGCGCCGCCCAGAGACTCCTTCAGGAAAGAAGGCCTGACTGCCCCCGCTGCCAGGAACACTGCTGGCAGACAGTGCTCAGCGGAGAGCACTGCTTCGCCCAAGCTCACGTCCCTTGCCAGGGCGTCCTGCCTCTGATGACCAAGGGAAGGAGGGGGGCCCAGCACGCTTGCCCCCAACTCGGACAGCTTTGAAGGGTCATCCCGTCTGAGAATTTTCCCACATCTGCTGAGGCTCCTCTTAAGACTGCCCTTCCCCGCTTTGCCGAGTTCTTCTTCCTTCCGTTCGCTTTCACAGGTGCTGACCCCTTAGGCCTCCCTCAGCCCGCAACACCATTGGACCTAGAAAACTCCAAGCTCCTTCCGCTGCTCCCGGGCACTGTGTAAGCTGGCCTGTTCTTCCTGCACCTCCTCTCCAGCTGTTTACCCATCACACTCCGTGTGTACTTGCGTCTTCAGCTCCTCGAGCATGCAAAGCTGTCGCAGCCTCAGGACCTTTGCTTATGCTGTTCCCTCCGCATGCATTGAGCTCCGACTCTACAACTGGTTTCTTCTCATCCTCCGGACTTTCTCTCTGCCTCCCTGACGTCCCTGAGTACAAATCCTCACACCCCTTCTGTTTCTTCATAGAACTCACTCCAATTACAATTATATGTGGTTTTCTCTGTTTGCTTGTCTGACTCTGTCACATGTCCATAGCCTCCAGGAGGGCTGGGACAGTCAAGGGTGACCCCCCAAGTCCTCAAGAAAAGGTGAAAATTATCTTTAGCATTTTCAGTTCCCCTGTATCCAGAGTTTTGCAGCTCGTAGAAGCCCTCTCAATCAAGGCGACCTGTATAATTGATGTTAAAGATAAATGCTCACAGCATCAATTCCATCTGTGAATTACTGGTTTCTAATTTTTCCCATGTCCCTATTTGTTTGGCTGTACACATGGACTCATTAGGCCTCTAGGCTGACTGAAAAATGACGTAAGCGGTTTTCCACATGGACACTTTCTGCCAGATTATATGTTTTCCATGCATGTATTTGATCTTTACAACAACTCTCAAAGTAGGCAGGGCACATTCCCAGAAGAGGACACTGAGGGTCAGAGCGTCCCCAGGACTGCCTGGGCCCACCAGCTCTCTTCCCTAGTATCTTTTGGGTGGGCTGGCTCCCTTCCTCTGTACCCATGCTCTCAGACAATGCCTCACTTTTGCCAGAAACTATTTAATTCTTTCCTCCACCAAACCCAGGGCCTTTGGGGGCACAGCTGCACACCCCCAGAGCTCTGTGAGCTCATGGGGCTCTCATGACTCCCGTAAGAGGAGGGTCTGGTGAGCCCCATTGCCCAGGTGAGAAAGTGTTCATCTCCAAAGCAAGGCCGACATGGGGATGGAGAATTTATGTGGAGTTTTCAGTCTCTCCTGGTCTATGGAGCCTGGTCTGTGGCCCAGGGGAGCTTTTCCTGCTGAGTGTACAGTGACCAGGGCCCTTCTCTTAGTCTAAATGGCCATCAGCGCAGGCCACGGACGCTCCTACAGCTGCCTGTATGCCCAGGACACACTCGGGTTGACAACTGTCACCCTGCAGATTCACAGGCATTTGTGCTTTGTTAAGCGTACATTTAGGATTTTTTTTTATCCTCCTCACATCCTGACACCTTCCTCTCATCCTATCCATTTCTGCCCCCTTTGTGGGGCATGCTGCACACCCTCTACGGTGGCGTTGGTACACTTGGCTGCACATGTTTGCTCCACGCAGCGGCAGAGGGTTACAGCGGGACTTGATGACGGGTGAGCATTAAGCAGGGGGAGAGGAGTGCGGAGGTCATTTCTAGAAAACGCTCCTAGGAAGGAGGATCTGGGACTCGTGAGCCACTCCTCCTAGCTGGGGCAGAAGACCCAGGGTGGGGGGTGGCTCCCGAGTCACAGCAGGACCACGGAGGAGTCGGTGAATTTCAAGGGCTTGGGCTGTTGTCCTGTGAAGTGACAACATCCAAGCGCTTCTGGAATGTTAATCTAGCACAAGGCTAGGCTGAAGGGAAGGAATCCGATCAGAATGCAAGGAGTGGGTTTGGAGCGCTCTGTTGTAGACTTACGTGTTGCGTGTTGCGTGAGTGTCTAGAACCTAAGACGAAGGAAGGCTTGCACAGAGGGGACAGGGCACTGGCTGGACCAACACGAGCATGCCGCCAAGACAGACGTCACGTGGTGTGAGAACTAGAAGGAACGCAGAAGACGCTGAGCATCTAGGTGTTACCTGTAGGATGCGCTGAGTGAAATGTACTAGAGTCTTCCACCTTGAACATCCTGCTGGATGTGACTAGAAAGGGGAGGTGACAACGTGACTCCACGATTTAGCAACTGGAGAAGAGGAAAGTGATCCTGTGTGTCACACTGGGAACTGTGACCTGTGCGTGCCCATGTTCCTCACACTCCAGCTCACCTTCCTTTGAATATGCACCGAGCACAGTCCAAGCCCACTTGTACCTGGGAAAATCCAGGCTGCCCAGAGTCCCCCTGCATTGTCACTAAGGACAACCCCAGGGAAGGTTGGCCTGTCCCCTCAGCGGGCCAGGCTGGCCTCTATTCTTAGACGGCAGCCCCGGATCCTGCACTGCCCGCCTCTCGGTGCCTCGTAATAGTCCCTGTGCTATTGTGTTCTCCCCACATGCTTTCCCTCAAGTGTCCCAGTGCCCGGGGGACTGTCGTCAAGTGCAGCTCTCCGTTCTCACTCAAAGCCTCCTCCCGTCTTCTCCAGGTTACAGGGCCCTGTTGACCCTTCATAGACTTGGGGTTCTCTCACTCTGCCCTCAGCCCCCACAATGCAGGCTCCCACCCGCTCCCCCTCATTCCCAGAGACAGAGGGAGTCCCTCTCCACCCCTGGACCAAGGTCTGCTTCCCATTTCCCATTTCCCTTCCTGGGGAGCACCACTGGGAACATCCATTTTCTTAATCATCTACATTATTTTCCGTTCTGCCCACAGGGTGGGACCCCCGTGGCCTTGCCTCAGAGCTATTTCCCAAAGTGCGGCTTACTCAGCCATCACTAGTGCCATGTGGGGCCCCGACAGTCCCAGCCACATGGCCCTGCAGCCCTCAGGGCACTTCTCACAGTCATCCTCCATGAGGCATAGCCCACACCAGCCCTGTACACCCCACCTCCCGGCACAGCTGGTCTCATGATCTCCTGTAAGTGAACACATGCTCGGGCAGGAAGACATCTCCTAAGCACAGTACTTCTCAGAAACAGTCCAGGGTAAACTCATATGAAGGGAAAAGAGCCAACCACTTTCTGCAAAGAGTTGGGAGGAATTGGGTGGGGGTGGGGGGGTCTGGCTGTGAGGACCTGGATCTACAGTGCTAACTGGAATTTGGAAAATGTCTCTGGTGAAAATCTCCCCCAAATTGATGGCAGGCGCTCGCCTCACATCGCATGACTAAAAAAACCCCAGGTCTCTCCTGATTGGAAGGAACCTTCCCCCGAGATAGATTCCAGCTTCCTCCCTAAATCACACATCTGCTACCGATCCTTCATGCGTTATTTTTTTCCCCCTGCTTCCACAATTTTAAGCGACAGGAGGAAACTACTAGAAAATTCAAAAGTCCAGTTCGTCCCACTGAGGTGTCCAGCAACACGGTAAAAAGGGCCAGATTCTGAGAACAAAGGGGACAGTCCCTGCGGCAGACATGTTGGTGACAACAAGAGGTGCAAATGGAGCACCCAAGAGGCCGGGCTGGGGTGTGGGGAGGGCTGAAGGCCTGAGATGTGGGGCGTCACCTTTCCAGAAGCCCAGGGGAGTGTGTGTTCTCCTGCCTTTAGGGAGGGACCCGGCAACGTCGTAATCTTTCAGAGCAAAGACTGAAGAAGGTAAGCAGGGTTTAGTTAAAGGATCTTGAGGCCGGACTTGCAAAGAAAGCCAGGAATGTCTTTGGACATGAGGTCTTGAGTAACTCAACTTGATATATGCAGACTTGGATCACCAACGGACTTCAGGGCTGCCAGGGAGGATTAGGGGAAAGTGCCTCTGATCTTACTCAGTCCTGGTCATCGCATGAGTCAAATTTTTCCTGACTCACTGTATGTTTAATGGGGTTCACGCTGATGGATTCTTGGCGATGTATCCCTTCACGACCAAAATTCAAAAGGGGGTGTTCGCGTCAACTCCCATGAAAGCTGCTGGAGGACCCCAAGCACTCAGGACTCTGTTGCGAATGGGCAAAGTCATCACTCAGTGTCCACTGATGCATGAAGTTCGTGGGGACTTGATGCCAAAACGCACTGTGTGGTTTTTTTGTGTGTGAGGGTTTGTTTTGTTTTTGCTTTTTTGTAAATCTTTTTTTTTTTTTTTTAGTTTTTTTAAATTGATTTTTTAGTTGTAGATAACATACAATATTAGTTTCAGGTGTACAGCATAGTGGTTAGACATTTATATACCTTACGAAGTGATCACCCAGATTAGTCTAGTGCCCATCTGACACCCTACATAGTTATTACAATATTATTGGCTGTATTCCCTGCACCTCCCCAGATGTCACCAAGGCAAGGAGGGAAATGGTGGCTAAATAACCTCTTGCCAGGTCCAAAGTGCAAAGCCGTTTTCCTTTCAAAACCACAGCTTGCTTCCTCCCTCTGAAAGACTCACTTTTTCTGCAGTTCCTCCGATGATGTCAATGGAGCAGAGGTTATGTAAAGTGAAAGCCCCCAGATTCCCACAGCATTTTCCAGAACAGAAAACACCTCCGAGGGCAGCTCTTGCCATCAGAAAGCCTGGCTGAAGTTGTGAGCGCGTTCATTTTCTTCCTCAGTAAGTAAACGACCATCTGTTTTTCCCTCTTATGAGAGTAACATGTAAGGGGAGATCCGTGTGTCTTTTAAAACAAACAAACAAATCTTCCTTTTACAACTAGATATTGGCAGAAGTTTCTACGTCCTGTTAAGTGTATTTTTTGTAACATAATTCTAAATCAATTCGAGAGACTTGTATTCGTGCCTACCTTGGGTTTTAGTTGCTTTTCCGGAAAAGGAGGAGTGAGTATTTGGAACAGCTTGTGGAGGTTCCAGCAGCTGTTTCTATCCCGGTCATTATGAAAGACTTAGAGGCTGAATACAGCCATCAGAGCTCCATGTGGACTCTGACCAGTTACAGTCTACAAATTCTGATGTATAAAAATCAAACTGGTCTCCCCAGGATCACTTACAAGATTTCACAAGGCCAGTAACTGATTGGTTTATCTGTGGCTTAAAAATAGCCACACGTGTTATTATGTGACTGGGTAGACATTCGTTAATACCAGTGTCTGTATTTCAAATGCCTTGTTATTGCCTCACTGTGGATGTTGGAATTAATTTGAAGAAGGCTAATTTGTGGAAGAAAGCCAGGCTGTCTCCCAAGTACCACATGCCAATGTTAAAAATGTGCAGAACTCAGAAAACATCCCATAGAAATTACAGGATTGTCATCTCTAGTAGACTTGCCCAATGTCACCTCTGAGTTTTTCAAATAGGAGCAAATCACTCCTGTTTATTGAGCACCTACTTTGTGCTAGGCAACTATCAGAGCTAAAACTAAGAACCAGTGAAGGAAGAGTTCTCCTCTCTGGCCAGCTTGATATAAACACAGGATCAGCTGGTAAGGACAACACTTCACACAAAAGCCCAGCTTGAGCAGACACAGGCTGTGGCTGCCGTGGTCACGGACTCAGCGGGTCCTGTGGGATGGCGGGGGCAGTGTTTGCTGAACCGATCAGATTCCAGCAGAAGTCAGAGGTCTCTGCCAGGGGCATAGCTGGCAGTCCCTGATTTTCTGGGCATGATGAAGCCGTGTCCCTGTTCTGGTTTCCTGTTGCTGCTGTAACAAATTAGCACAAACATAGTGGCTTAAAACAACACAGACTTATTATCTTACAGTTCTGGGGGTCAGAAGTCTAAAATCTGTTGCACCGGGCGGAAGTCAAGGTGTCGGCAGGGCTGTGTTCCCTCTGGAGGCTTCAGGGGAGGCTCCGTTCCTTGCTTTTCTGAGCGTCTAGAGGCTCCTGTATTCCTTGCTTGTGGCCCCTTCCTCCATCGTCAAAGCCACTGGTGCAGCGTCTTCTAACGTCTCTCTGACTCTGACCCTCCCACCTCCCTCTTTCACTTACAAATGAAATCACCTTCACTTCTAATTACATTATGGAAGCTCACCTCCATAATCCAGGATCATCTCCCCATCTCAAGGTCCTTAACCTAATCACATCTGCAAAGTCCCTTTGCCATGTAAGCTGACATATTTACAGGTCCCAGGGACTAGGACGGAGACATCTTTGGGGGCCATTATTCTGCTGATCCTTCAGCCTCACACCACAGACCCATGGGCCATCCTTTGGTCTGGTGGTGCCTCTCGCTGACCTTGTGGTCTCTTAGGAGGACACAGAAGCCAGGCTTCCCCCACTGCCCCCCAAGGGCCATCCTTGCCTGCCCAGGCACCCATGCTTCACAGGGGACACAGATCCCCACCCCTGAGTGTTCAAGGATACTTGCAGAAGGAAAGGGGCAGACAAAGGAGGCCACACTGGGGGGCTCTCTCAGCCTCCGTAATGAATCCCCTCCCCCGCTTCCAGTTCCTCTTAGACTCCTGGTGATTAAAGCTCCAAGACTGGAGACAAATGGGAACCCCCCTGCCCAGCACCAGGCCCTCTTGGAACCCAGCCTTCTGGAATTCAGTGCCTTCGTTTCCTAGCGCGCCGGGTCCCAGGTCCTCCCTGAACTGCTCCGTAGTTCAGGAAGAGCAGAAAGGGGGACTCGTGGTACCTTCCAACCTTGTGTTATAACAGCAGCGTAGTCCGCGTGGAGCAGAGGTTGCTTCCACTCAGAGGGACCTGGACACTTGATCATCATTACGACTACCACAGTTATTGTTACTATGGAGGGTGGAATGCTGCTTGTCATCATTAAAGTCTGGGATTTGATGCCCTGCAACCTACGAGCGATTTTACAGGCATGATCTCGTTCAAGCCTCACAATGACTCTTTGCAATAAACACCAATATTCCTACTTTACAGATGAGGAAACTGAGGCTCAGAGAAGTGACTTGACCTGCCCACACTCACACAGTTTGGTGACTCCGGGACCCAAGCCCAGGTTCCCTGACTCCAGGCCCATTCTCTTTATAGACACAGTGTGCTGTGTGAAAGAGGCCTGGACTCTGAGCTGGGCACAGATGGACCAGCTCATATTGCCACATGAATTTGGGCAAGTCATTTCACTCTTTCTCACCTCAGTTTGCTCATCTGTACAATGGGCACCCTTCCTCCCAGGCACATTGTCAGGATCAAGTTACCTAAAGCCCAGCACAGTCGCGGACCCTCAGCAGACCACAGGTGTGGCCACTTCTGAAGGGTCAGATCTGGGCACCAGGGTCTCACTCTGCAGCCTCAGGGTAGGGGAAGATTGGGGCTGAGACGGAGACATCATGCGAATTCTCCCTGGTCCATAGAACTTCCTCAGCACGTGCACAGCAGGGCACAGGAAGGAACGCCATGGGGCCCAGTGGTAGTCTCAGGAAGCAGCTCCCACACATGCACAGGGGCTGCTGGGGTGTCCACCAGGCGTCTGAGAAATCAGCTGTGCTGGACGCGTTGGTTTCCTGTGGCTGCCATAACAAATGACCACAAACTGGGCAACTTAAAACACGTTGGTTATATTATACTGATGGAGTTGTTAACCCAAAAATGAAAAAGAAAGGTCTCTCAGAGTGAAAGGCAACAAGCATTTATGTGAGACCAAAGAATAGCTGTTCAGGAGGCTATGATTCAACTAAAAGCCTAAATGACGTTCTGATTAGGAGACAAAGAAAATGGGTGATTATGAGAAAGGGAAGGGGAACAATGACATCAGTTCAAGGAAGGCATTTCTGTGGTGCAGATAACATAACATAATGGTGTTTATTCTACAAAATGTTTTTCATTTGCAGTCCGGTGGCCATCAGTCTGGTAGTCATAATATCTACTTCCGTGTTATCTTTACAGACAGCTCTTCGGGGCATAAGCTTGCATTAGGCCCAGTTCAAAGGGCATGTTGCCCTGTTTTAACATTCCAAAGGTTTGAGGCATAAGACATGCAAGGCAGTTCTATGCGATGGCTGCTCTGGCCCAGTTTTAAAGTGGCTCTTTTTGGGCCGGCTGAGTGGCTCAGTTGGTTAAGAGCTCGCTCAAGAGTGTTGAGCTCTGAGCAACAGCGGTTCGATGCCTGACCCGAGCTGAGCTGCCGCTGAGCTGCCAACAGGTGGCAGGATGGCTCAGCTAAGAAAAAAATTAAAAAATAAAGTGGCTCCTTTTACATTTTTTTGCCAAAGTTATAAAGTACTTCTTGTGAAAACTTTATTTTCAAAAAACATTTTCTCTTTAAATATATGGGTACACCCACATATTATACATTAAAGCAAAATAAAACCTTTTCTTTATGTTAATCAACTGAACATTGAAAAATAACATAAGCAAAATAATTATTCTTAGTACATATCCATGTGCTATACAATTAATCTCTTAGGCTTGTACCTGACTGATATGTCACTGACATTTTCCTAAAGAATGTATTTCTCTTTCAATGGGGTCTCATTATTTCTAATTGTTCTATGTAATTGCTGAAATCTTTGCCTTCAGATTTTATGGTTAATAAATTTAAAATAACACCTTCAATTGACTTTTCTCTTGGACCAAAATATATTTAATTAAGAAATTGTTCCCTCTGTAGATGCTGAGATACCTGGTTAAGCTCTGAGCAAATCCTGACTAGCAGAGGCTATTTTAAAGCCCAGTTCTTTGCATATGGAATTATGTAAATATTTCAACCCAAGTATTTTCACCAGTTGCCTTTATGCCTCATGTCAGAGTTTTTTTCTTCAACAAATATTCTTACCAGATTATACTCTTCAAGTACGTTGTAGTTATTTATCATTTTTGAATGCTTTGTCAAATTTATATGCTGCAAATCATAGACTTTCTCAATTCGATCTCTTTTCTGTATAGAACACGAATTTATCCAATTGAAAAACTTCTTCCTACAAATTGAGAGATTCCAAATCTAATTAGAGAATTTCATTAGAATATTTTAAAATTAAATCTTGTGTGCCATTTGAGCTCTCATCATTTAATTTGATCATTTCCTTCCTTGCTCTTTTAGCAAAAAATTTTAATTATTTTCTACATAAAAGCTTTGTTTCCAATAATTATAATCTGCTAAAAGGTTTGAAAGCTAAAATTTGGTGTTCCACTTATTGAATACCTTGATTGAAGATTTCCAATTGATTTGGAACAAAATTCAACAATTTAGAGGTCTGCTTTAACAAACAGTTTAATAACATTTTAGGGCACTTAGACTCAATGTCTTCTAAAATTGACTGATGCTAGACAGCTGAGAATGAAAATACATGCTAAAGTTGTGTTTTATTTTTCAAATTCTTCATCAACTTCTTCACAAAAAGTTGTAGTTCAGTAACTATGTTTGGAAGTTTTGTAAATCTTGTTCACTACAATCTCCATTTCAATTGGGAGAATATTGAAACTTATTTATATACAGTTACAAATTGTGTGCACCGCGACCTGTTTGAAGTATACTTCTGTTAATCAGTCTCTTATCTTAGTAAGAACATCATTGTTACTATGACACCCTGCCCACCAAAAATGTGTGTTATCATCACAAAATACAGCACCTTTATTTCCAACGTGAACAATTTAAACTGAATTTAGAACAGCCCTCACGAAAAGTCTGCTGGTCGCTTCACCAGAATGGACTTCCAAAGGCTTTGCTTTGATTGCATGGGCTGAATGA